CCACTCCCAGCTCCCTGCCGCGGGCGCCCCCGGACCGCGGACCTCGAGGTGGAGCCGCCGCCCCTCTCCCGGTCTCAAAGACCTTGCCCTTGGCGGGGAGCTCTGGCACTTTCGGTTCTCCTGAGCCTTAGAAGTAAGGTCGCCATGGTTCCACGCTGGACAGAGGGACGTCGAGAAAATGTGAATAAACCTGGGGACCGACCACCCTGGGGCTTTGCTGAGCCGACTTGGCAAAGGGCTGCCCCAATATCCTCGGACAGCGTGGAGACCGGATTCTGGGAGCCTGGCCCTGGAACGGTGGTCCCTGAGGCCCGGTGTGGGCACAACAGGGTGGCCGACCACAAGGACACACTTAGAAGACCCCTCACCCCCACACCACCACCCCCCACCCCCACGCTGCAGCCTCTGGTCACAGTGGCATCGTGTGACTTAGAAAAAGTCCCATGGGGAGACTTTGAAATCTCAGGAATGAACTTTTTTTTTTTTTGGAGAGGTTTTTGCTATAGGGCGAGTGCACTTGCCAGACAGAGAGACAGAGAGACAGAAAGCAAGAAATCACCCCCCAGGGGGGATGGCCACGCCAAAATCCCTTCTCCATTCTCCTCTCGGGATCTTGGGCACGCACGCACACACACCCTGCGTGAATTTAAGCCACCAGGCCTGGCACTTGAACCTCGGTCGACTACATGGGAGTCCAGCGACAGAGCCATTATGCTAACTGCTGGTCCCAGGAATTACTTTTTTAAAGTTTGTTTATTTCTAGAGAGATACAGAAAGGTACCCCCAACAGGGTCTTCATACAGCATCCTCCAGCCAGCCAGCAGCCAGAACCCCCAGAATGTTTAGGTAGACCCGGACCTGACCAGAGCCTGACCCCAGCCAAGCCTTCCTGGACGGCTTCCAGCCCTGGGAAGCAGGGCCCTGCCTGCCTGTGCCGCTGTGGGGGCAGGGGTTTTGCTAATGGTTCTGGGAGTTAGTTAGTTAGTTAATTAATTTGCTAAAGAGAGCGAGAGAGAAACCTACCCCCCAGGGGAGATGACCACGGTGCAATCCCTTCTCTGTCTTCCAGGATTTGGGAATTCCTGCGAGTGGAGGAGAGTTTAGAACAGTCTGGTCAGCTCTGTGAGGTCCAGCCACCTTGACCATCCAGCCATTGGCCGTCCCAGGATGAATTTTTTATTTAAGGTTTTTGCCATAGGGGGCAGTATGCTTGTTGGAGAGAGACAGAGAGATAGTGAAAGTGAGAAATCACCCCCAGGGGGAATGGCCACCCTCAATCTTTTCTCCTTCATTTTCTGGAGGAATTTCTTTTCTTTCTTTTTTTTTTTTTCTTTTTTTAAGAGAGATTTTGCTATTTGGTGCGTCCTTTAGGAAAGTGAGAAATCACCCCCTAGAGGGGGAGATGGCCACGCCATAATCCCTTCTCCGTTCTCCTCATGGGATCTTGGGGATGCACATGCCCAGCATGAGTTTTAAGCCGCTGGGTCTGGGGTTTGAACCACTATCGACTTCGTGGGAGTCCAGAGACGTAACCATTATGCCATCTGCTGGTCCCCTCTGGAGGAATTTTTAGAACATGGGGGGCTGGCAAGTGGCGTGGTGGTTAAAGGGTGCTAGGCTCCCACATGGCTAATAGCGGTTTGAATCCTGGACCTGACAGCTTGCTTTCTGACTCGCCCCTCCCCTTTCCCATCAAATAAAAATAAATAAATAAATAAAAAGTTAAATCAAATTTTTTTTTAATTTCTTTTTTCTTTTTTTCTTTTTTTCTTTTTTTGGAGAGATTTTCACTGTAGGGCGCGTGCGCTTGCCAGACAGATAGAGAGAGACATAGAGACAGAAAGCGAGAAATCACCCCCCAGGGGGGATGGTCACACTGCAATCCCTTCCCCTCCATTCTGCTCTCGGGATCTTGGGCACACACGCACATGCACCCGGCGTGAGTTTTAAGCCACCGGGTCCGGGACACGAACTGCGGTCGACTACATGGGAGTCCAGCGACATAGCCATTACGCTAACTGCTGGTTCCCAATCAAATTATTATTAAAAACCATGGAAAACACATGTCATTCTTTGGTGGTCAGCAGTAATAAAGTCAGCTCTTTCTAGGACACAGTTCTCAAAGGATGCTTCCCAAACGGAAGTGTCACCCTCACCTGGGGACTCTCCATCACCCAGCCTAGGGATCCAGGAGCTCTAAGTGGGGGAAGGGAGCGGTCACCCTAGGAGAGGATAAGGTGGGCTAAAGGGAGCGACCAGGACCCAGGACAGCTTCTGAATTCCTTTCCTGGGCTCGCCAGGAACTCCCGGTGAGCTAGGCGAGTTACTCCCTTCTGCGGTGCTTTCTGTGCCTCAGCAGTACCGTGACATGAATTCTGGCACCTGTTCCTTAGGGTTATTACAGGCCTGGATGAAGCAGGACACGTCAGAGGGCAGAGGTGTGCGAAGGGCTTAGCACAGTGCGGGGCCGGGTAGTGCCCCACCTGTCATGGGGCACTACTGCTTGGCCGTCAGCACCTGCAGCCTGCCAGGGCATCTCAGAGTTCATAGTGAGTAGGACTATCAGAGATTCTGTCTATTCAGGCAAATCCGTTCTCTTGAAAGACCCGTGTTCCTTTTCCATTACAGTGAGGATGATATCTGCAGTACAAAGGAAACTATGAAAGATATTTAAGTAACTCAGAGTGATAACCGTCCAGATTGGACAGGCCCCCTCACACGCCCTACCTCCACGCCTGGTCTTGCCTGAAGCCTTGCTAGCCTTTTTTTGGTTTCCAACTCAGGATAGGACAGATCTTCAATCTCAATTTTATCTCCCTGGACTTAAAGTAGATTGTCTTCTAAACTGGATGTTTGACATAGCTGTGGCCCAACACGTCCTGGAGCAATTCTGAATTTCACCCTGCAGAAGAATGCTAGAGGTCACAATGGCCTGAGGGGCTGGGGATGCACAGTCAGGAGAGCTGTGTGAACTTCTGGCTCCAAACTTGCCGCTGTGGGCAAGCCCTGCCCCACTCCGCGCCGCCTCTTCATCTGTGAAATGGAGATGCTAATAGGTGGTTGTCGGAGAAGTAGAAAGAATACGCCATGACTTTTCTGACAACCCAATATATTGATAAGTGTCCCGCCAAGTTACGGATCCTTAGCGTTTGACTTACTCAGATGAATTTGTGTGGATACTCCTTCTTGCATAAGTTGAAGAACGAAGCCGTACTTTGCAAATGCATTCCTCATCGTGTCTTCCATTACTGTAATCGTCCAGTAAATGTGAATGTGCACCATTACATGTCCATGTTACTGAGCGGGGCCCCCGAACATGTATGCCGGATCATATGAGTGTCTTAAGGGGATTTAAGATTCCGAGGGTGATTTATTTTCTCCTGTCTTTACAACCTACATCCCTTTCTCCAAACACAGAACTTCAAGGCAGTCTCTGAGAAGCGCTTACGACAGTGGTACTGAAGCTTGGGTGTACATTAGGCTCACTCTAAGACCAGCCAGGTGGCATGGTGGTTAAGGCAGCTGGATCCCACATGGTCAACTCTGCAGTTCGAATCCTGAACCCAGCAGCTCGAAAAACATGCCAGGTACATGTGCATGCATGCCCAAGATCTCAAGAGGAGAATGACCTAGAAGGGATTGCAGCATAGTTATCCCCCCAGGGGGATGCTTTCTTGCTTTCTCGCTTTCTCTCTCTTGCTTCCTCCCTTTCTGTCTGGTGAGCACACATCGCCTATAGCAAAATTTTAAAATATAATAAAATTAAATTAAAATAATCACTCCAGAAACTCCTCTCTGGAAATTAAGGTTCAAGAAGTCTCAGGGGACTTCCCCCTTCCCCCACCCAGAATAATAAGTCACCCCCCTCAC